CTTACGTCCATAAATTTTAGATCATATAAACTGGACTCAACATTATTTTTTTTCCAAAGATTCTCTGGTTGCCAAAATATTCTTATAAAAATAATATAAAATATTTGAATTTGTTTGTTGATATTTGCAGACCTGATTCCTTTCCCTCTGGTGAAAAGGACAAAGCTCTCGAAATTTACATTCATCCACTTAGCATCCCCAGAAAGCTTTTAGGTATTAGTCACGAGACGAATGCTTGCAGATTTTATCAAATTTGAAAATAGACTTTTTTTTTTCAAGTATTACAAACCACTTAGGGATGTCCAACAACAGTGCAGGGGTTGCAGTGAGGTGAAAGATTGGGAAGATGTACCTGGGACTCTATAGCTGGAGGATGGAAGCTGGAACATGTGGCCCTGACATATGGTGGCACAGTGTCACAGATTTCAGCCTGGGATCCCTGCTATGGCATCACCATACCACACAGCACACCATTTCACTTTCCCCACTTAAAAGCAGAAACATGAAAGGGCCTCTATTAGTGACTTTGACAAACACGACTTTTCTACACTGAGGAAGCTGGGACTCCCTGGACCAAAGGACTACCCTTTTCTCCGGCCACACTCTAGCTCAGTAGGGAAAAACAGGATGTTATATCCAAGGCAGCAGCATCTCAAGTATCTTGACACATCAGTGAACCATCAGAGCAGGCCCTCTCTCCTTATGGCTGGCTCTTCCTAGCCCTGTGGCAGTCAGCTGTTCAAGGTCTTGTCCAAGGTCACCAGGCAAAGACACACACATCTCTGTCGTGTCACTTTGTTGATAGGACATTCCTCAGGCCAGTATCTCTTCTTTACCTCTCATCTCCTCCTTACCACAGACTCTACAACCCTAGGAAGGATTTCTTTAATTCCAAGTGATAAATGTTCTTCAACGTGACACAGCCATCCTCTTTCCAGGAGCTGACATGTTGTTATCCTGCACTGGGTGGGCACCATGAGTCATACAATAATATTGTGACAGGGTTTTGACAAGCGGTAGGGAATGAGATACTTGCTGATGGTGATGAGCCTGTGAATACCATGAAGGGTGGTTTCTGCATGGGGAAATTGCCCTGTAACCAGTACATGTAGGACAACTCCCAAGCTCCACATGTTAACTGCCAGCCCATCATAGGTTTCCTTGCCAAAATCTCTGAAGCCAAGTAGAGCAAGGAGCCACAGGATTTCTCCAACATCTGCCCCTCTGCAAGCTGAGTTGCCATACCAAAGCGACAAAGCTTGACCTTGCCAGCTCCATCAGTAAGGATATTCTCCGATTTAATATCATGATGTGCAGTGTGTCTTTGGTGGAGAAAGCGCACTGCTGACAAAGCCTGTGGGAATATCGGTCTGGCCTCCTCCTTTAGATAGATCTTCTCCTGCAGCAGACTCCATGTTCACATAAGTCATCAACCTATCAGTGATGTCAAAAAATTGAACTATGTTCCTGTGATCCAAAGATTGAAGGATGTTTATTTCAGAGCCGATGCAAGCCATAGCATTTTTTTTTTTTCCTCAAGGACCTTGACAGCTAACCCTGTGCCTGCGGGAAGCTAACAGGCAAGTTCCACTTCCCCACATGCACCAAAGCCTAGAGATGTTTATCCCGGAAATGCTTTTCAAGGATGTCCTCTTCCATGTGGCTAGCCATGATTGTCTTCTGAATTTCACCCACTTTATCTTTTTGGAAACCCCAGGGGCAAACAATGCTATTAAATAAAAATTAATGCAATTTTAGGATAGAGTATCACGATGAATTTTCTGTCATGAAATCTGAGATATCAAAATCGGTCAAATGCTCTTCAAGGACATAGAAATACTAGATGAACCCAACCTCAAATATTAGACCAGGAACCATAGTAAAGATCAAAGATGGGATCAGTGACACACACATGTAAGGGAAAATGCTGACATCAGAGAAATGAGGTTATTTCTAGACAAAACCCTG